ATAGTAGACACCCCTCAAGTTCCCCCTTGAAGCCCTTGAGGTGCCCCCCATTCATAGATCTCCCCACGATAGACCCCCCCCAAGAGTCATCCTGCCCGTGGACCCCCGCCCTGAGGTGCGCCCTGTCCACGGACACCCCTGAGGGGTTCTTCCTTCATGGAGTCCTAGACTGTAGAGTTGGAAGGGACCACAACGGATCGTCGTGTCCGACCCCCTGCCCCTGGCAGGAAAGAGGACCGAGGTCAGATGACCCCAGCCAGGTGACTATCTAGCCTCGTCTTGAAGACCTCCAAGATGCCCCCTCAAGGTCTCCCCCATAGCCCCCCTGTCCATAGCCCCATCAAGGGCATCCTGTCTCCATAGTCCTCCATCCCTAGACCCCCCCTGAGGGTCCCCCTCATCTATAGACCCCCATAAAGTTCCCCCCCTGAGGTCCTCCCATCCATAGACCCCTTCCTCTATAGGCCCCCCCTCCATAGATGACCCCCAAGCTCCCCCCCCACAAAATGCCAGCTCTTAGTTTTCCCTTTTTTCTCAATTGCACAGAAACACAAGGGGTGTTTTTTCCATGGCAGGGCACTCGGGCAGACCCCCGGCTCGGCGTGGCCTTTAAGGCTGAGGATCCCTGCACAAAATCTCCAGGCTTCTCCCAGGAATCGTGTTGGCACGCCTCGCGGGCATGGCACCCCTGTCAAAGCTTAGCTTAGCTTAGCTTAGGCATCACTGGGCTTAGGCATGTTCATGGACTACAGAGATAGTAGCAGCGGTTGGAGATGTTTCCTCTGGCATCTCTAGCCCGATAACGATGGGTAATAAATGGGGGCTAAGAGCCACGAGTCTCACCCAGGTGCCGGGAGAGCCTTTCAGGGGTGCTGCTTAACCTTAGTGCTGTCTGTGCGTGTGCAGGAGTCACAAGATAAACCTGCAGGTCTAAATAGGAATCTGTGGCTTTAAAAACTGAGTTCTTTGCAATAGAGGGACAGCTCTAGTATTTTCCTGTTGCAAAAAAAATGAGCGAATGCTGGGGGAAAAAACGAGTTGGTGTTTTTCTGAGTGCCCTGCATCTAATGAGGGTGCCTCTAGTCTCAAACCGTTGAGAAGTGCTGCTCTTGATCGGTCTGGTTTGGTGCGCTCCCTCCAAAGCATTTGCCCCTGCCGCTGAGAGACGGGCTGCTGGGCTAGGTGGCATTGGTCTGACCCTGGCGCTGCTTCTGTTTTTCGGGAGCTGTAATTGTCTGGGGGGAGTTACAAGTTTGTTAACCGTTGTAAAGCATTTCGAGGTCCTTGGATGGAAAGAAGCTTGTAGTACCTGAGGCTGGTATTGATCAGGGGAACAAGACATCACCATTGGTCATCACCAGGCTTCGAATCACCTAGTCCCTCTGTGACTTCTGGGGTTCAAATCCCAGTTCTGATGTTGCCCTGGATCCTTTTTCTAGGAGAGGAGTTGAATTAGCTTGTGGACCCAAACCTGGCATGGTTTGAAAAGGGACAGGCGTGAGGATTTGTTGCAGTCGGCAAATCTCTCTTCCTGCAGACTTCCTAAGGTCCAGAAGAAGACCTTAGGTGTTTGAATCCTGTGCCTTCTACTTGTAAGAGTAAGGGCTTATCTCCAGGCCTCAGCACGCTACTGACTCGGGTGCCAGAGGTCTGCATTCAGCGGTCACGTATGTGGTTTGGAAATCACCTGGGATGCTTATACTGAGGAACTGCGCTGGCTATGTTCTGGGGGTGGTAGCAGGGAGGGGAGGAATTCATGCCTTTTCCAGCCATGTGGCAGTGAGCGCCCACCCGTGCATTGCTTTGCGTATCTCCTTGGATGGCTGCAAACTCTCAGGGCTGTAAGCATTTTAATTTTTCCCCCCAGCGTGTCATTCTGTGCCGAGCACACCCGGAGGAATGCCCTGGCGCTTCAAGCTCAGATGAAGAAGGCCAGCACCGGGCCGGTCAGCGAGACTCTTCTTTGCCAGCTGAGCTCTTATGCCAAGACGGAGCTGGGCCCCCAAGCGGCGGAGACTAGCCGCAGTGAAGCCAGTCGAATCCTGGGTGAGATCTTTGAGTGAAGTGAATAAGGAGGCTGGGGGAGTCCTCTGCCCTGCACATTGGGACCAGCAGCCTGTGGCCTGCTATATCTGAGAGGGGGCATGGTCTGAGGGAACTAGGAAGGTAAAGCACAGCTGGCCTCAAGAGAAGAGGCTGGGCTGGTAGCCAGGAACTCCAGTGCTCTGGGCCCTCCTGTGGGCGCACCATTTCACTTCTCCGCTTCCCTGATATGAGAGACGGAGGAGGTAAAGTTGAATATGCATTCACAGGCTAAAGCGCTGTGCAGATGGACAGGTGATTTATACAAGAAGGCCATTTTTAAAGCCTTGGGAAAACTTCGCAATTGCAAATGTGGTTTTTGTGGCATGAGCGGTATATTCCCAAACTGTATTCACCATCCTTGGCCATTTGCATAAGCTGTTCAAACACAGTGGCCTGAGATGTGGGTATGCAGTCTCTGCTGGGTACACATCCTTCTTCCAGTCCCCAGGGGCTTGGGCTCCCATCACCTGTCATGCAACTATAACATAAACCCACGTGTCCTCAGTTGGCACTGCAAAGAGTCTGGGCTGGGCCCAGAGTTGATCTGAATGTGCTCTTAGGGGCTGCTGTTCTGCAATAGGGGTATTGGACTCTTCCCATGATATTGTCACTGGACTCAGTTGCATCTCAGCAGGGTTTCCTCTCTCACTGCAGTGTTGGAGCTTCCTCCTCATCCTCATTACTGGTTTGCATCTCCAGCTTGTAGGTTCTGTGCCCTATGAAGTGTGCCCAGACATGGCAGTGTTTCCTGCCATTCATTTGCTCAAGGAGGTGCAGCCCCCGCACTGCAGGGTCAGCTCAGCAGGGAGCAGGCAGCTGTCAGGATTCTCAGCAGAGGAGGGTGTTGCTCCATCGGATCTGTATATTTTGACAGCCTTAAATTAATTGGCAATTTTTCTGTTGGAACTATGGAGCTGCTTCGTCCTGTTTTCTCCCCTGGGGCTGGGAGGTCTGTCACGGTCCGTTTGTCTCAGAGTTTGTTCGAGGCTTTTCTGGCTGCAGCGCAAAGCTGCCTAATATCCCAACGCCAGTTCTGGGCCCTTGTGCTCCAACTTCTGGAAGCTGGGCCGGATGGCCTGCCTGACACGGTGCTTCCCTTTCAGATGAGGACAGCTGGAGTGATGGCGAACAAGATCCTGTCACTGTGGACCAGACATGGCGAGGTGACCCTGATAGCGAAGCTGACAGCATCGACAGTGATCAAGAGGACCCTCTGAAGTAAGTCTGGCAGCTGCTGCTCAGGTCTGGCTCTTGTGCAAGTGGTGAACTGCTGCTACAGGACAAGAGTGCACTGAGATGATTTTTAGGAGTCTGCTTTAGGAAAAGAAACCACCGTTTTAGCAACACCACAGCTGAGAAGAGCCATGTTGGTGCTTCTGAATTGCACCCAGTACAGCATCCAAGTGGGATTGGGCACTTGTTCCTCAGGTGGTGCTCACATAAAAAGAAATCATTGCCCTTTGCAGGGGGTGGGGGGGTGGATATCCCTTGCATCTATCTCTCCTGTGTACTGGGCTCACTGTGGGTAGGCTGGTTGGCTCCTGTAGCGGCATCTTGGTTTGAACCTGGTGGCATGAGGGCCACAGAAGATGCTGCATTGGTCCAGGATGTGCTTGGTTATAGATCTGAACAACGCAGTTACCTCTAGTCCCTGCCTTGGCACTGCCTGACTTGCTGGTCTCCCAGAGCCCAGCTGAGCACAGGTGTATTAACTAGATGGCTTTTTCTGCCCACTGTGCTTCTGTATGCTCCTTGTTCCCTGCTGGTGCTTTGGGGGTATCGGCAGCTGCTGTAGTAATGTTCCTGCCATGCTCCCCCCTGCTGATTTGTGGCATGTTAAATTGCCCCCTGGTTGTTACAGGCATGCTGGGGTGTACACAGCGGAAGAAGTGGCCTTGATAATGCGGGAGAAGCTGATCCGCCTGCAGTCCCTGTACATTGACCAGTTCAAGAGACTCCAGCATCTTCTGAAAGAGAAGAAACGTCGCTACTTGCACAGTCGCAAAGTAGAGCATGAAGCCATAGGCAAGTATGGGTTCAGGTCCCTTGTTCCATGTCACTTGGCCGTACGCAGATCCAGGCACTTGGGAAGCATGACAGTCTGCACTTGGAGGTGATGGCATGGCACTGAGAGCCAGAGGCAGTAGTTGTGTGTCCCAGAGCCTGGTTGGGAAAGTTGTCTTCTATCTTTGCTCTGTAATGCATTGCTGAGGAAATAAGCCTGCAAAAATCTGAATTCTGAGAGAAGAGTTGCGTTCAGGGGGTGTTTATCATAAACACTGTTCTCTCATTGGTAACGTCTTGTCTTCAGTGGAAGAGGTTTGCCAGGTAGGGATGCGGATATTGCTCTAATGGCATCGACCTATGTTTAACTGACGAAAGCCCCTTTGTCAGCATAGCTTATACAACTTGAACAAAAGCCTTTCTGTGCTGATAGAACAGGCCTCTGCTAGTATATAAACATCAGGAGAAAGTCGCTCACACACCCTGGCACGATACAGTGGGATCAGTGAAAGATTTGAGCCCTTATGCTTGCCTTAATGTGGGCCTGAGGGCTGGCAGGGCAGCTGGGGGCCACAGTCCAGTAATATCCATCACTAGTGCTTAGTATTTTGGAGCCTTTTGTGCTAGCCAGCAGGAGCCTGTCGCCCACAGTGGCGCCGGGCACAGGGAAGGGAGAGACTGTAGGATGTTTTAAATGTAGCAGACAGAGTTGCTTTCCTGGTCAGCTGTGCTGTGTGGACACTCATTCCTCCACCCTGTTCTAACAAGGTGGCAGCTTCTGTGCATCTCCATTCCCTGATGCCTTTCATATCCCAATTCTAGTTCCTTGTAAATTCAGTGTTGTGTGTTAGATGCAATCAGTGAGGCCATGCTATCCTCACTTAGAGTATTTGCTTGCTAAGGAACCTTTAACAAGCCTCTCTGCTGTGCTGTGCCTCAGCTTCTCTGTCTGAAGACTGGGAATAATGAGAACTGGCTTACCTCTGTAAAGCCATCTGAGATCTGTTAGTGAAATATGCTATACGAAAACAAGGTGGTGAGACTTTTTATTAATAGCTACTGGTATAATTTACACACAGCGCAGAATGGGGAGAAGCAGGGAAAGGCGTTGGTTTGAAAGGGGGCGGGTGCGAAGGTTTGTTGCAGTCTGCAGATCTCTCTTCCTACAGACTTCCTACAGTCCAGAAGATTTTTGGAAACAGGTGCTGGGTTGTACTTCAGCTTGTGAGATGCTGCATTGTGTAGCTAGCTGAGCTGTAAGACAGCTGTCCTCTCCCCCATGGGTAAATCATCCTGCAAAAAGACGTTGTGCAACCCATTACCTGATAAAAATAACTGAGACTTTTATGCTGCAATATTTTCTAAAATGTATTGTACAAACTGGTAACACAGTGAACAATAGGCAGTGAACATTGACTTTTAAATACAAGGTCCTTAGCACTTGCTGCATAAGTTCACTGATCTTTTAAATTAGCTTATGTAGTAGATTTTGGAATCATTTATAAATCTGTCAAATTTTGACTTTTTTGGCAGGAAGACGTGCTAGAGGAGTCCAGGTGTAGGTTGGATTCATCGCACTGTATTTGGGGTCCGTTTAAGATGCCAATAGACCAGTCTGAATCTGTAAAGGTTCTTTCTGTGCAGAGAAGTGTTGAGATTGTGGAGGCTGCACTGTGCAGTTCACTAGTAACCAAACGACTTGGTTCCTGCTTCCTGAATACAAGGCCCAGCATTCTTGGTGATGGTTCCTGTATTGCTGTAACTGGAGAGCTGGCTGCATAGCCGGCTCAGTCAGGTCTGGTTCCAGGGTCCCCAAGCAGGGAGAATTGCCACAGGCTCCTGATTCCTCACTCTCTCCCAGGTAGCAGCCTCCTGACAGGCCCAGAGGGTTTGATGGCCAAGGAACGTGAGACCCTGAAGCGACTGAAATGTCTCCGCCGCTACCGCCAGCGCTACGGTGTGGAGGCCCTGCTTCACCGCCAGCTGAAGGAGCGCCGGATGTTGGCAACCGACGGGGCTGCCCAGCAGGTACTTCAGTCTGCAGGGACTTCTGGTCCAGACCCTGTTCCGCGTTATAGGCTCCCTTGAAATTCAGGTCTCCCACCTGTCACCCATGTTTAGGGAGCAGGACAGGGGCAAGTTCCAAAGCCTTCAGTCCTGCCAGGTTTTCCATTATAAATCCCTTCTTTAGGGACATGTAAGCAGGCTGTAAATATATCGTTTCTGATGCTTCAGCTGATGGGTGGAGCTCTGTGGGGTTGTTTTTATTAAAGGAACAAGAGCAATAAAACATAGGCCTAAAATGCAGGTTTGGAGAGTTTTCCCCTTTAAAAAAAAGGGAGGCAGGATTACAAAGCCTCCTCTCAGTGCTAGGAGGTTTTCAGCCCTTGTAATTAATTTTATATGAGTGCAGAGGGATTTGATCACTTCCCTGGAGCTTTGGGGACCCAGTTGTGCCACATTACATTGCTCAAGAGAACCTGCAATTGAAACCAACTTGTTTGTGTGCGGCAGTTCCCGCGCTGCCAGTTAAAAGGAAGCCGTTTTGCTGCGTTTGAGGGTGGGTCTGCTACTGCTCAATTTGGAGGCTGCAGGTCTTACCCAGGAATGTGTGTGTTCCCCTGTGTAAGAGTAAGGGGCTGGCAGGCTGGTGTACAAACCAAGGCTGAGAACTTGTCTGCTAAGACGGCTCAGGATCTGGGCTGAGACGGGGCAGGCTCAGTACCCTGAACCCTTGCGAGCAGCCAGGTGAGCAAAAGGGGCCTGGTGGTTTTGTAAGCCACTGACAGAGTGGAAGCCCTGAACCCTGGTGCTGGTTTAATAGCTGAATGTAGCTGAACGATCTGGGACTGTTCTGACGTGTTCTCTGGGGCTCCTTTTCAGGCGCACACCACCCGCTCCAGCCAGAGGTGTTTGGCCTTTGTGGACGACATTCGATGCTCCAACCAGTCTCTCCCCATGACCCGGCACTGCCTTACTCGTATCCTTTTGTTTCCTCTCAGCTGTGCTGAGCAGCCTTGCTGACTCAGTCCCACGTGGGCTTGGTCCTCATTTTCTTTTGGCCCTGAATCAAGGCCACCGGTTTGCTGTAGCCGTTGGTTTCAAGCAGGAGCCCAGAGGAACATCTTCCTGTGGTCTGTTGGCCGTTCCAGAACCCCAGACAGGAGCGGCCAGTTCAGTTGGAAGCGACACACAAACCTCAAGCGATTAGGGAACAGCCACAAACTATTTTCCAGCTGTGTTAGACTAAGATGGAAGCAAGTTTGTTTTCGGCTCTTAACTTAATCCTTTCAGAATCCCTGTCACAGAGGCTGGGAGGCTGAACATTGAGTACAAGGCAATAGCATGGGATGTTTTGCAAGTTGAGACTATATTTTAGCCCTGCAGGGGGTTGTCGCAACTCCTTGGAGGTTGCTGTTTATTGGAAGCGAAGCTGTACACTAAGCAGTGACTCAAACTGTTGTTGTGGCATGTTTGCCAGTGACTTCACTGCAAGCAGGTTTGGCTTCCAGATTGTGTGGTGTTTTCTTCCTAAGGGCCGGACAAAGGTTCCCAAGCCAAACTGTGTGGTTCCCAGTGTAGCGCAATTGCACAGATGAAACCAGGGCAGGACTCTGTTCTCTGCAGCTGGGTGGGCTGAGGAAGGCCAGCAGCAGCAGAAATGATGAGCTCTGTTTTGTTTTGTTATAACACTGGCAGGTCGGTTGTGTACAGACACAGGCCGGGGAGGCAGGAAATTGCCATTGTTTCTGTTCAGCGGCTGCAGGTTTAAAATGAAGCCCAGAGTACTGCCGTCAAAATGGCTTGACCGAGGCCAGGGCAGTGCAGTCTATGAAGGGGAGTCAAAGAAACTGCCCTGTCTTTTAAAAGAAAGCATCAAAAACCAGGCTGGAAGGGACGTGGAGAAGCCATTTAGCCCATCCCTTAGGGAGGGGGACCTGCCAGATGACCCATCCAGGTCTGTAAACTGTGCTGTTCAAAGCTAGCCCGCTGCAGCCTTCTGGGCCCACCATTTCACAGGCGTATGTCTGAGTTGTGCCAGCCAAGTCAGCGGGGGCAAGGTCATACTTTGGCTTGCCCTGCTGAGCAGGGACAGTTACAGAGGAGTCACCTGCAGCCGATTGCTCCATGCCCTGCCAGCGGACTTGTCTTTGATACCTGCGTATGAAGCAGACAACCCGGCTGGGCTGCCGTGGTCCAGGTAGGGTTTGACACGGACAGTACAAAGTAGTGGCTGACTTGAGTCTGACTGGGACTAGGGTCAGTGGGGTCGGAGTCTCCTCTGTGAGTCGAGGTTAAAAGAAAATGGTTAACTTGAAGCCTAGTTGTCTTCAAGAAATGAGCTCGGCTCAGAGCCCGCTGCCAATTTTGCAGTCAGTTTGTCTTGCTCTCCTTTGCTAACTCGCTTGAAGAGAAGGCTGTGGAACTGGCTCGGACATGATTTTTGCACGCCTTGGTTTGGGGGTGTCTGATTGAGACACCTCAAAGCCCAGTTTGGAGTAGAGCCCCTGCTTTCAGACAGTCGGGCTCCTTTCAAGCGCTTCAGATCAAGCACCTGGAATCATGGGTCACTTGGGTTGAAGTGAGGTTGTTCAGACTAGGAACAACTGCAAATAAAAATCCCTCTCCTCGTTCCAGCTATCGCCACTGAAGAGTTCGTCATAGTAGTGACGGGAAAATGTTCATCAGTGAATGATTTTGAATTTGGCCACAGTCCTTTAAAGGGCTCCAGGCAGGAGGCAGGCCTAGTTGTGTGTAGCCTGCGGGGGGTGGGTTGGCAAGTGCCTGTAGGCGGCTGATCTCCTGAGCAAGATGCCATTAATGCTGCATTTCTGCGGGTGATCATAGGCAGGGAATTTACAGCTTGGAGGCATAGCTCTGCCTCTGAGCCCTTCTGGGGACAGAAGAAATGAAAATGCCTGAGTTACGTTTGGCTTCAGGAGAGGTCTGTGTCGGTACCAGCAAGGAACTCTACTGCACATTTGATGCTAAGGCTATGTGCAGCCACCAGGTACATGGGAAGCTCCTACCTCATCTGTCCCTCCCTTCTTGGGGGCCCTTGAGGCTTTTGCAGTATTCAGTTAGTCCCCCACACTCTGACCTCACGGTAAAGCTGTGGTATTACCTGCATTTTACAGCTGGGGCGTGTGAGCTAAGTAGCTTGGCCAAGGTCACAGCAGTCACAGAGTCTGCCCTGGTTCTTACTGAGGTGTGATTTAGCTGCTGTTTTCCTCTGTGCTGGGGGCAGTGTTAGCGCCCTTTGCTTCATGCCTCTGCCTAGCTTCTCTGTCAGGCGCACGGTTCCCTTGACTCCGTCTTCCCAGACATTTGCCAGGACACCAGTCAGACTCTGTTTAAGCCATGCCAAGGGTCAGAGGAAGTGCCCTGTAACAAACCAGTCGCTGTGAGCCTCTCCGAAGATCCTTGCTGCCCTCTCCATCTCCGACTGCCGCTTCAGATGTACGTCCCCGAGCAGGTGCTGTCTGTCCCTGAGGAGCTGGAAGCTGCCCCCACGGATCTGTACTTGAGTGCTGCTGAGCTCCAGCCCACGGAGAGCTTACCCCTGGAGTTCAGTGACGTAAGTCGGAGAAGTCGCGTAGTATCCTCCCTCTGCCAGCGGCTCGGAAGCAAAGCATCTAGCCGAAAGCTTCGGTGCCAGCGAAGGCCGGACGAGTGTAACGTGTCACTGCAGCTGCTGAGCCATGTTAAATCGCTGGGGGGATTATATAGCCGCAGACCCCCATGCCTCTGCCTATCCCATGCCGTGGTCACAGGTCTCGCTGCCCTTTGTCAAGGAGTCCAGGCTCCGAAATGTCCATGTGGAGGTCAGGGCTTCTAGTTCTTAGGTGCCATGCAAGGATGGACCTGGAACGGGGTGCTGTGGCAATGGGGGGTGGCCAGCTCCTTTGCTCTGTAGCACAGGGCACACTGCAGCAAGTTCAATCCAGAGGCCAACTGTTTTCTTCCACTTCCCTTCCCCGTCTCTGGACCGTGATCTGTGCTTCTGTTCCAAGTGGGCATCCTCCTGAGAGAGCATGGCAAAGCTCAGTGGGCTCCAGAAACGCTTGTTTCTGGCCAGTAGCAACCGCTTCTTTGGAGCTGCTGTTCCCTTGTCGAAATCTATATCTAGGAATTTTGAAAAGCGGCTTTTTGCCTCTGTCCCCAAAGGGTACGTGGGGGTTTAATCCCCAGATTACAGCGCGTTCTGCAGGCACGCTAAACCTCCGTGCTTCAAAATCCTCGTGACGTTTGTGTAAACAAAGTGGTGGCCGCTGTTCAGAGCTGCCGTTTCGGATGAGGCCCGTGACCGAGAGCCCGGAGCGCCCCGTCCCAGAGCAGACTTCTGTAGCCAGCGTAAAAATAGCTGCAGATAGCTGGGGGAGGTGCTGCCAGGGCTGCTGTAACCATAGGGATGCTAGCAGACATTGCCTTAATATAGCAGGCCAGATGCCACTGATCCAGGGGCTTGAAAGCTTTGAAGCTGGCTGTTGTGAACCTGGTCCCACTGCAGCAGTGTTCTGCAGTGAAGGCCCAGCGCAGCACCCAGGGAGTTCAGCCGGGCGGCTGTTGGTTCCCGTGAGCATCAGGACAGGGTGTCGGTGCCATGGGAGGAGGTTGCTGTGGCCAGGAAAGGGGGGCACTGGCTGCGTCTTTTCCCACAACCATTCTCATGGCCTGGGCAGAGGTTTAATGGCCGCTTAGGCAGGAGTCCAGGGGTCTTCGCTGTTTTTCTGTTTGCTGAGTTGGGGGCAGCCTGCTGTGAAGTGTCCTGACTGGCCATGTTCAGGATGACAGCATGGGTCTGCCCTGCAGCAGGGGCCTTGCTCTGTGTGTCCCTGAGGGAACTTTTCTTGCTGCTGCCTGGCACAGTTCAGGGCTGCTCAATGCCTCCGTGTTTTATCTGACGTAGCACAGTCCTGACCAGGCATCGTGCAGTCACAGGCATCCCTCCTTCCGTGTCGAGCTCCCTCCAAGTGATGCCTCCCCTAACAATAGCCTTGGAAGAATCCCAGCCTTGCACCTGCATTGTTACCATAGTCAGAGCAGCTGCGTGTTTGTAGGGAGCGTTCCCAGGGGAGAGATCAGCCTGGGTGAGGCTGAATGCTGCCCCCTGCCCGCCCCTGCTTCTCGGCTCTCTGGGCTGCATGCTGGACCCTGGGATTCCCTGTGCGATGGCATGCCACAGTGGCAGCTATGCAGCTCCTGCTGCACAGGCTGCACAGGGGCCTCTGGGCTGTGTGTGCCATTCCCAGAGTTCCAGGGTCCCCATTCGGTAGCACTCCAGAGGTCCCTTCGAGCCCTATTTTCTGCAGTCCGAGTGCGGAGCCATTGCCCTCATTAGCTAGCAGCAGCCTGACTCGGCTTTGGACTGCTCCTGCTCTGATAGGACACCATTTGCCAGCACCTCGGGGGACCGTAACCCGTAGCTAACTGGGCCTGGGATTCTCCAGGAGCATGGAGTCCCAGCAGCTCCTGGCACTTGAGTTGCACATCCTGGGAGCTCAGCCTGTCTGAAATTGGGCCCCGCAGCACACGGGTGACAGTGGGGGCTGGAAAGACTCTCACTTGCCTTGCTGGTGCGTTTGGCTTGCAGAGCCTGCTGATGGGCCATGCCTGGTGTTTTCTTCCTCAGGATCTGGATGTGGTGGGTGATGGCATGCAGTGTCCCCCATCCCCTCTGCTCTTTGACCCCTCTGGAGCCCTTGAAGATCGCGCTGTCAAAGGTGTGGTCAAGGCCCCGCTAGATGTACTGGCCCATGAAAAGTCACTGCAGCCAGGCGGCTCGGCCCAGCTGACACAAACAGACAGAGGAAGCTCTTTTGGCCAAGTCTCCTCGCCAGCTGTGGAGTCTCCTGCAGAACCACCATCGCAGGTATAGAGCTGGAGGAGGGGGCCGGGGCACTTTCAGCTGGAGTGGGAGCGGGCCCTAGGCAGGTGTGGCTTCAGCTCCAGAGCTGCACGTTGGAGGAGCTAGGAGATGTGCCCTTGCAGGGAATTTGCTCCAGTTTCAGGCCCGTTCCAAGATGCAGGTCACAGCATTGTGCGCGGCAGAGCTCCCTGGGGCTGCCCTTCCTCAAACAGCCTTGGACTCTGCAGCCGCGTGGCAGCCCTACAACTAGGATGGTGGTAACCGAGGCTCATGCTTCAGGGCCCCCAGCAGCAGCCTGCAGGGGTCAGGAAGCGCCAGTTCCTCTACATGCAGCAGGGTGTACCAGGATAGGTGCCTTGTAGGCTGCTCACCAGCCAGAGGACCAGGGGGCTCTACTTAGGCCTGCGTTACAGGCCCTGAATGAATGCTGGCAGCTGGTTTCAAGCAGGAGCCCAAAGGAATGCCTTCTCCTGGTCTGTTGGCCATTCCAAAGCCTCCAAAGTGAACGGCCAGTTCAGTGGGAAGCAGCGTGGGTTGCATACGGAGCTCCTCGGGTGGGCGAGGAGCTGCCCTGGCAGGCAGGGTCTAGGGTGCGGGCTCCTGGGATGAACTCCGTGCTGGTGTGTGCATGAAGTCTTTCCCCTTGGGACCGAGAGCCAGGCCCCAGCTTGGTATGGGGCTGGTGTGATCAGGGCTCTTCCGTCTTTCACAGGCTCAGCTGCAGGCAGCGGGGGGCAGGCCTGGCCCCGAGGAAGACAGGAAGCCGGAAGATGCTGCCCCTTCTCGGCCACGTGGAACGCCGGCAGCCTCCAATGGGAACCCAGACCCTACGTCCATCAGCTGAGGCTGGCTCAGAGAGCATGCTGCCTCACTCGAGCCCTTGTCCTGGGTCAGCCCAGGCTGCCCTTCGGGACCGTGCACTGGCCACCAAGCGTGATATTCTTGCGCTGGGCCAAGCTGCTGGCTCCGCTCCCCTTCTCTGCCCCAAAGCCATTTCCAAATTGGTTGAACCAGGAGATGCCCAGCGCTTGGCCACAAGCCCTGGGGCTAGTCTCTGCCCCCTCCCACCTCTCACCTGGTTCTGGTGGCCTTTGGATTTCGGGTGAGCTTGCCAGTGCGGCAGTCAGCTCATTAGCCAGGATCAAACCAAAGGGAGACCTTGGGTTCCCTGGCAGGGGATCCACACAGCTGACCCCAGAAGGGACCAGGCTGATGAAGCTGTGGCTTTTCCATGGAGCAGTGAGATGAGCCACATCTCCCCCAGTTGGTGTCTGTCACCCAGGGCACTGACATGGGGGGGGGGGGGGTCTCCCCTTTGCTGCCCTTTCCCTGGCACTTTGCCCCAAAGCAGACTCCTGCTAGAGCTTTAACCTGTGCCGGTGCCCCTGGCACTGTCCTGATGAGTTTAGATTTGTGGTAGAGCCAGAGGAAGCTCTGCCCCCTGTAACCCAGACAATAAAGCAGTTGAAGACACCCTCTGCAGAGCATGTCTGTGCTGCGGGGAGTGGGGCAGGTGTTCAAAGTGGGGGCAGCATGCAGTGCTGTGCAGTGCCAGAGTTCTCATTTAAACCCCCGTGGTGATGGGATAGGAGAACGGGGTAAACGCCCTGAGCCGCAGCAGAGCCAGAGCTGTGTCATCTTGGCCCGTGCAGCAAGAGCAGCTCAGCCAAGGAGTTGGGGCACTCTCCCTGCTTGGGTGTGGGCTCCCAGCTGCCCTCCCCAGGCCTCCCTGTGTCCTCCGAGGGGGGGTGGAGGTGGTTTTAGGTGGTTGCAGCCTCCTGGGGAAGCCTCCGCCACTGTGTGCCTGGCCTCTCTTGCCAGGCAAACCCTCCCAAGCCATGGCAGTGCTGATGCAGCCTGTGTGCGCTATCCTGCCCGTCTCTGTTCTGGGCATGCAGCCTTGGTCTGGGAGCCAGGGGCGGGCAGGCTTGCCGGACTTGAGCACATGCCAATTTGGATGGGGATAAGGAAGGCTCAGCCTGCTCCCAGGGTGGCCGTTTGCCCTCGGCAATGGCCACGAAGCAGATCCCCGGTGCTCGAGGCCAACCCCTCCGCCATGGAGCAGCATGCAGGTTGCTGGTGTGGGTGCAACTGGCCCCAGGGTGACGCGGCCCTTGCCTGCTGGAACAGGAGCAGGAGTGAGGCCAGCCTGGCAGGGATGCTGCAGCGGGGACGTGCCCGGGCTGGGCTCGCGGATGCTGACTCACACTGGGTCAGTCCCTGCTCTAGTAGAGACCTGTGACCAGACCTGGGCCCTGGCCCCAGCCGGGGCTTTGCTTCTGCTGCCCAGGGGTGCAGACAGGCCCATGTGGGACAGCCAGCCTCCGTGCAGAGTAGGGTGGGCATCCACGCTGCAGGTGCTGCGTGCCCAGGGCAGGAGCACCGGTGCCAGTGCTGCCTGCCCGAGCCCGGTGCCAGCCCCGCTGCATCCCCGGTCCCCAAGCACCCAGCTCTGCTGCCCGGAGCCCCGGGGGAGCCCGGCCCCATCCTGGTCCCGGCCGTGCCGGCGCGGTCCTGCGGGGCTGCCCGCTCCCGTGGGCG